ACGTTTACCGATAGGGCGATGCCGACGATTTACAACGAGAGTCACGGTCGCGAGGCCTGGGACAGCTCTATCGATCTCTCAAGAACAGTGGGCTGGTTCACAACTATGTGTCCACTGCATGTTGGTGATGGGTCAGGTGAGTTCGGATCTAAGCCTGTTATGAAGCTATTTCTGACTGCAATAGATTTACTGGACACCTTGAAGCGTGTCAAAGACACAAGGCGTTATCTTAGCAGTAAGAGCCAGTCATACTTCGCGGAAAGCCTGCTTCATCCGGAAGGTAAAGGTGATAACTTCTTTGTCCCACTTGAGATTCTGTTCAATTACCTTGGCCAGCTGCAACAGCTGGAGCGCGACGACTCACTTTTCCAACACTATGGTGAAGCCTTCAACGCCGAAACCTTTGAGATGGCAGGTGACATGGGCTTAAAGACATCCCGGTTTGCTCTGTTCGAGATCTCAGCGCTCATCATCAAAGACAAGCTGCAGGTGTCGTTCACCTACCATAAGCACATGCAGAAAGAACAGCGGATTAAGGGCTGGATATCTGAGTGCAAACAAGTGCTTCAGCATATGTCTCGTTTTGACAGCTTCACCCCTGAGCCAACACTCAGTGACTGTCCCTTGCTCCCTATTACTTACGAAGGTCTGAACAACATGGTCAAGAGAACATTGCCCAAGATTGGAATCGAAAACTGGGGTCAGGTTGAGGATGTCTATCCCTGCTCCCCAGTACAAGAAGGTATTCTTCTCAGTCAGCTCCGAGATCCGGAGGAATACCTGTTCCATGTCATCTTCGAAGTTCACCAATCCAAGGGTAGCAAGGTGGATACAAGCAAACTCCGAAAGGCATGGTCCATGGTTGTCAGCAGACACCCTGTCCTACGGTCTGTTTTCATTGATAGCAATTACAAAGGCGGATCTTTCGACCAGGTAGTGGTCAAGTCACTGGAGGATGAGGTCATTGAGTTCCAATGCCCAGAGTCGGATGCAATGGGTACACTCGGAGAAATAAAGCTGCGCGATATCAATGCCGAGAGATCGATGAAGCTCGCCCATCAGCTGACCCTCTGCAAAACAACTTCTGGGCGAGTTCTATTCAAGATTGAGATGAACCATGCCATTATTGATGGTGGTTCGGTTGATCTGATTCTCAGAGATCTCGCACTTGCATACAGTGATCAGCTTTCTGCTGAAACCGGTCCACATTTCAGTGACTATGTCAAGTACGTCAGGGAACGATCCCAGGGAGAAGCTGTGGCACACTGGGCGAAGTATCTTTCTGGCGTACGACCTTGTCACCTGCTGGTATCTTCTAAAAAGGGTGGCAGCCACCAACTCGGTGAGCGCATGATATCTTTCAAGCGCTTCCCCGAGTTGCAGAAATTCTGCGAGGAGCACTCTGTTACACTCGCTAATTTGACACTCTGCGCCTGGGCAATTGTACTACAAAATTGTACAGGATCCGATGATGTCTGTTTCGGATATCCCTCTGCTGGCCGTGATTCCCCTGTTCCTGGAATCCAGGATGCAGTCGGTATCTTCATCAATATGTTGTGCTGCAGAGTCAAGTTTTCTCCTGGCCAGACTCTTCTTGATATTGCCAAGAAGGTCCAGGATGATTTTGTCAGAAATGTGCCATATCAACATTGTTCTCTGGCTCAGATTCAGCATGAGCTTGGGATGCATGGAGAGACGCTCTTCAACTCGACTCTCTCCATCCAGAATCGATCTGCCAACAAGGGCAGTGCAAAGCTGCCGCTCGACTTTGAAGTCAAAAAAGCCCATGACCCGACTGAAGTGAGTTGCTTCTGTCTCAAGCGTAGACGCAAGCTAACATTTGTTTTAGTACCCTGTAACTGTAAACGTGGAGACCACCAAGGGCAAGGAGGGAGTTTTGCTGAGATACTGGAGCAACGCCGTGACCGAAGCACAAGCGAAAGAGCTAGCGGAGGGTGTCTCTAAGGTCTTTACATGCTTCATCGAAGAACCATCCAAGCTGGTTTCGAATCTGAACCTCCTCAACAAGCTACCGCGGAACCGTTCGCGGCATACCCACAAGGAGCCAATTATCCTAGACCAGTTGATTGACAGCCAAGTCTTGCAGAAGCTGATTGATGACCGCGTGAATGAGATTATCAGCCAGATGCTGAAGGAAGGCAAGCTCGCCATACCCCTTCCTGATCAGAAGACTAGATACTCGAACGGCTCTGTTCAACTCAAAATGGTCGAGGCTTCATACCAGGAGGACCCCGCTCTAGACGAGAAGGATCTTGCAAATTCGACACCGTCCTTGACAGACGATGGCAGAAGCTCAAGTGAAAATGATAGGCGTCTTTGGGATTTGTGGAAGACGACATTAGGGCTATCCTCAGACACTATCCAGTACCGGAGTAGCTTCTTCAAGCTAGGAGGCGACAGTATTACAGCAATGAAGATGGTCAGCGCGGCACGAGAAGAGGGCCTGCAAATGACAGTGGCGGATGTGTTCAACAACCCGATTTTTGAGGACATGCTGGCTACGATTCCTCCGAGCAGCAGCCCGACGTCTAACGCCGATACTCAGTGCGCAAATAACATTGAAAAGCTCCTCGAGGTCGATGATGCTCTTCCAGATGCTACGCCACCACAGGATATTTCGGTGCTACGGCCAATGCAGCTCGACGCCATGTCTCTGCTTGATGTCATCTGCCCTAAGATAGGGGTCTTCAAAGGAGGGATTGCTGATGTTCTCCCTGTAACGGACTTCCAGTCCATGTCGATCGCTGCAACGCTCTTCGGATCCAGATGGATGCTAAACTACTTCTTCCTCGACGGAAGTGGACCTCTGGACCTCCGGCGTCTGAGAGAAAGCTTCTTGAGAGTGGTCGATGCTTTTGACATTCTTCGTACTGTTTTTGTCTGCCACCGCGGACAATTCTTCCAGGTGGTGTTGAGAAAGATCCGACCAGATATTTTCGTGCATGAGACGGAGCAGAGTCTGGACGAGTACACCAACAGCTTGCAAAAACGGGACCGCGAACAAGACCCACGCCAAGGAGAGCAGTATGTGCAGTTCTACATTGTCAAGAAAAAGAAGAGCGATCAGCACCGCATCTTGATCAGGATGTCGCATGCCCAATTCGACGGCGTTTGTCTGCCAAAGATTATGAACGCAATCAAGCTGGGATACGAGGGCAGTACCCTGCCTCCAGTCTTCTCATTCTCGAACTATATGCGGATGCTTCCTGGAAACATCACTCCGGCACACTATCACCACTGGTCGACGATCCTCAAGGGCTCTAAGATGACGGATATCATTCGACGCACGCAGCCTAACACCTTTATGCATATTGGTGCATTTGCGGAGCAGAAGAAGACCATCATGATTCCCTCCACCGCTATAGGGAACGTCACCCTCGCGACCGTTATGCAGTCCGCATGGGCAGTGACTTTGGCGAAGCTGACTGCCCAGTCCGACGTAGTCTTCGGGCTTACAGTCAACGGTCGTAACGCTAGTGTTCCTGGTATTGAGACTACTGTTGGGCCCTGCCTCAACATTCTTCCCATCAGGGTTAAATTCAGGGAGCATTGGACTGGCCTTGACCTGTTCCGTTATCTTCAAGACCAACAGATCGCCAACATGCCCTATGAGTCGCTAGGATTCAGGGAGATTATCCGGAACTGCACCGACTGGCCCGACTCCACATACTTCACTACTTCCGTGTTCCATCAGAATGTCGAGTATGAAGGACAGATGCAACTGGACGGCAATTCGTACCGGATGGGAGGTGTTGGTGTTTTGGACAACTTCACCGACCTCACGCTGGCCTCCAAGTCCTGTGGCCAAGAGAAGCTTGACGTCTCAATCGGGTACTCACTCAAGGGACCAATCCCAGCAACCTTCATTGCTAAAGCTCTGAACATGGTTTGCGAGACGGTGCAGAGCCTGATTGCTAACCCCAGCGTCCCACTTGCCTCCCCTGCCACCATCCGCTCCCTTCCGAGCCAAGTCATTCGTGAAGCACCCAGAGCGTCTGATACGCCGTTCCTCTCATCAAACCTGAACAGCCAGAAGATGTCAGAGATTGTAATCCACTCTGATATCCTCACCCGGTCCTGGCAGCAGGTGCTACCCCGTCGGACAGACAACCCACAATACCAACTCGACGCATCTTTCTTCGATCTCGGCGGAGACATCATGAATGTTGCCCAACTGGTCTGGATCCTGGGTGAAGAGGGTTTCAGCGTCCGCTTGGAGGACCTTCTCGAGCATCATACCTTCTTGGGGATGATGGCCGTGATGGCAATGCACCATAAGCCGGAACTGAATGCCAGTATGGCAACAACGATGGCTGAAGAATCAACCAAAGACATGAAATTGACCATGACAAAGAGCAACAGCTGGAGCTCGTTGGGCAAGGCAATGACACTTGCCAAGAGATTTACTAGATGGGGGGCTATAGCAGCCAAGAAGTGAGGTTTACATTCGTTGTGGGGGATCAATACTGAAACGCACTCTTTTGGTTTCTAACATGTACTATTTCAATTTTTTCTGTATCACATATTATTGTGTCGAACTACATTCCTTTTTGTTTCCACTTGATTTTGGATGTTGGCTATCATTCTGGAAGTTGGTTTTATGTTGGTTTTCTGGATTTCTTGGTATAAGAGCTCGTGACTTTCTCTTACTCATATCTTTTTGGGTCCTTCGACTATTCATTATATGTTAGTGTTTCAGATGTGTATTGACTTGATCAAGACCGTCCTCTCCACTACTATATTGCCCATTGCTTATGCACTCTAATAAGAATCATATCCCATACAACATCACCGACAAAACCACTTAGGGCTAGGCTATCACCTTAGCTACATATTGTATTACTGCACAATACCCGGTATAGTAATTACATTACGCAAAGTTCAATCGCCGAAGAAAAGAGAACAAACGCCGCGCTGCGGCGACTTATGTATGCCCCTTACGATTGTCTGGACCTATACAAAAAGAATAGCTATATCCGAACGAACCAATCTATTCAACTAAACCTAGACATTAATCATTGATATTACGTACTAGTAGTAGTTCCTCTCTATTTTAAACCCCCCCGCCATGCTATGCGTATGATGCCAAAACCAACAAAAACAGAAAGACCAGAGGTATCTCGAACAACAACAATCTGACAACTAACAAACAAACCCCAGTAAACAAAACTTTTAACCCGACCTGCCTTCATCTCAACTCAGGAAAGACCGGCCAATTATAGAACGTGGGGTATATATGGAAACGCAAAGGGTATAAGAAGGAAGCGAGCAAAGGAGAGAAATAAAATCAATACCCGTAAACCGAAGCGCGAGACCACTTCCCCCTAGCCCTAATGCGCTTCCCGTAGATATAAAACAAATAAGGGATGGGAATCAACGCAACAGCGACGAAACCCAACACACTCGCGGCCCAATCCACGCCCAGACGATGAAACATGATATTAGCGAAGAGGGGGAAACAGCCCGCGAACAAACTTCTCAGGAACGTGTTCGCGGCAACAGCACTCGCCGAAACCTTCTGGAAGGTATCGATGAGGTAATTCAAGGCGGCTTGGAAGATGGTGAAGAACCCGAAACCCATGCAGACAGCGCCGATGATGGGAGCGATCCAATGGATGTGGGGATCACTGGTCCAGGCGAAGATGAAGAGGCCAGCGGCGAAGACGATCGAGCCGAGCATCATTGGTGGGAGACGGGCTTCGGGGACGGGGAAGTTATTGTTCGCTTTGAAGCGGGCGATGTAGAATTTCTGGTTGAAGAGGTTGATGCAAGCGCCGAAGAGGATACCGACGAGGTAAGCGAGGAAAGGCAGGGCGCCGACGACCTGGTTCCAGCCGCGGACTTCTTGGAATTCGATGGGGAAGGAGGCCAGACTGAGGTAGAGGATGCCGTAGACGAAGGAGGCGTAGATGGCGACGAGGAAGCAGATTGGGGTGGTGAGGAGGGCGAAGGGACGGATGAGGTACTTGTTGCCGAGTTCTTTGAAGGTGACGTCCCATTCTTCGTGGCGGGCGTGGAGGGCCCAATTGCCGGTTTCGAAGCGGAGGCGTTGGGCTTTGTAGACGAGGAGAACGGCCGGGTAGCTTTCGTCGAGGAAGATCAGGTCCATCGCGAGGAAGAACATCATCATGATTCCTGTGATGTATTCGGTCCATCGCCAGCCGAGGTAGCTTTGGCAGATGGCTCCGCCGACAATCGGACCTAGTACTGGTCCGCCGACGACGGCCATGGCGTAGCCGACGATGGCGGCGCCGCGTTGCTCCGCGGTCCAGATGTCGCTCAGGACTCCGCCGGTGTTGGTGACGGGCGCGGAGCCGAAGAAGCCGCAGAAGAATCGGGTCAGCATGACGGTTTGGAGGTCTTTGGCTGTGGCGGTGCCGAAGGAGAAAATGGCGGCGATGAAGTAGGGCGCAAGGACGGCGGGCTTGCGTCCGTAGACTTCGGATAGAGGTGCCCATACGAGGGGACCGAGTCCTGACTAGGTCAGACTATGCGCAGAGAGCGAATGATGGTATGGATGGAGACCTACCGAAACCGAACAACAGCAGCGTTGTACCCAATGTCCCGACTTCCTCTCCCACGCCAAACTCCGCATCGATTTGCTTGGTGCCTGTGGAGAAACTGCGCCTTGTCAGTACCTGGAATATAGAACTGCGGCAACGGTAGAAGAGCAAGCATACATCGAACTAGCCCAAGTCGCACCTAGTTATCGCACGCGCCCACTGTCAGCACCACATCACCTAAAGAGATTCAACCAAGTATACCAGCAACCGCACATACCCATAGTAGTCAATCCATACAAAATCGTGGTAACCGCCTTCTTGCGAAAACTCCAATTCATCGGCCTGTACGGATCATCCGGCCCTTCAAAGTCAACAATGACGTCCTCGGAGGTCTTAGTATGCGACAGCGGATGCGTGAAGCGGGCAGTTTGCCCCGGTTCGCGACTGCGAATGCGCGAGATCACTGAATGCGCACGGTTCTCGAGCGCCGACATGCCCGAAGCCGCGGTGGTTTGCTTCTCCAATGCAGTCGGGTCGTCCGGGTGCACGTATGCGCTGTGGTGGTCTTCGGAGGACTCGACATCTTCGGATGAGAGCGATGATGAGCGGGAGTGCTCACGTCGCGACATCTTGAGGAGCTATATTCAATCAATTGATTTAATTCCGAGTTGATAAACGGTAAATAGAATCCTTCGAGTCACTATGCATATGCGAGAGGAAAAAATGATATCAGAGGGACGGAATTAATTAAAAATAAATGTCCCCGATAAAAATGATGTAAAAAAAATCTCCGAATCTCCGAAAAGCAAAAGTAAAAGGTGGGAGGGGATAAGATAATTGCCGAACATGCAACAGAGATATATCGGAATGATTCCAACCGCCACACTTCTGAGAAAGTACCTGAGACAATGAATGAATGAATGATTCAACAAGTGGAGGCAAAGATCCAAATCTCCTGTCAGTCAGGGCAGGCAGGATATGCCAGTATCTTTAGGGCACATTTCCTCACTGGCGTGGAACCGAAGCCCGAAGCCGTTTTATCCGGAGAGCAGCGTCATAGGCATCGGACGTCCGATAACGGGACCCTCCCAATGTTGCTTCGTTGCATTTGCCGCACGCTGATTCGGCCATCTCGGTAGAACAGTCTACCGGATCGACGTCAATTTCCTGGATAGATCAGGTCCTTTTCAATCGCCCTATACGCATCATGAGTCACATCCTGCACGTATCCCAGCCTGACAGGGCAATTCTACCCGGCCAAGAAGAGAGCGCTTGTCAGGGACGGATGCATCCGATGGGGCAGATAGGTGACAGGGCCGGAAACTTATCCGACCCACGGTGATCGTCGCCACCGCTAGAAAGTCTAACTGTCGGTCAAAGAATTCAAGAATGGTCTACTATGGTCTAGACGAGGTGAGAGATACGGGCGGGTCGTGTGTATCTATAATTGTCGCTCCTACGTGGTCAGGGTACCCTTGTAAAAAACAAACAACAAACATGCATTGATTGCTCCGTCTATCCCTTTAATGTCTTGTCTTATCGTAATGTTCCAATGCTGGCGGTAAATGTACAGCGTCATAATACATCAATCATCCATCCTCATCCGGATGTTGTCGCGTGCGCACTCTCCCATTTCTCAACGGCCTCCAGTGCGGCCGTCACTTTGAGCCCAACGCGCGCGTCTAGTTCATAGCTCTCCCACTTGGCTGCTTTCTCCAGGTGCTCTTTGCATTCGCGCACTTGGCGACGCTCCAGCTGTGTATCGTTCTCGGTGCTTCCAGCAGCTGGCTTCTCGCTGGATGACTCCGGTCCTCCGTGGATAGCACTGTACGTCGGGCGCTCCATCCACAGATTGGCCGCCATCTCGAAGTGTGCCACCGGGTAGATCCAGTCATCCTTGAGATGCCCTGTGAATTGAGACTTGTCCTGGCTGAAGATGCTCGTGCGAATGATCTCTTTGGCCTCGTCGTGCCGGCGCATGGCACGGAAGACGGCCGCACGCAGGAGCTGCAGAATAGCCTTCTCTTCCGTACCTTCGCGTGACCATGTCTTATTGGCATCGCTTTCGGACCACGCCAGCTTCGTCATGGATTCTTCCAGCTGTTCCTGGGTCATACGACTGTGTCCGTTCCAGAAAAAAATCATCTCTTCAATTGGATCCACCCCCACGGCATCCACCAAGGGCACCTTCCACTCCTTGGCGCGAGCCTCCCACTTGGCGATCTTGCGAGAAACGAAGACGTCAAACGGTAGCTGCCGAGCCATGAACTTCTTCTTGCCAGCCAATGGCGGCGCTTTCCGGAAGTACTCCACGGCCTTTTCAGCGTGTTTGGCTGCCGCGGTGGCATCCGTTCCAGCAACGTTTCGGTATAGGCTGAGATGGGCCGATCCTGCAATGTAGTAATAGAGTGATCGAGACCAAGAGTTGAGTTCGACGCACTGTAATGGTCAGTTTGATTACGGTCTTCTATACGTCAATCAGGACAGCATACCTCGAGGAAAGACTCTGCGCAAAGCTCGTATCTATGAAGATACATGGCGTTCAGACTCCGTTCGAAAACTCGCAGCGCCTCGACCTGCTTGAGCGGACTGCGGTCTTCTCCACAGAGCAGTTCCAAGGCAACATCTAATTTCTTGTTTGCTCCGTTCATCCGTGACTCCTCCAACAGCCACAACTGACTCTTCGGGAACCGCTTCCGCATCAGGGCCAGCAAGGCCTCTAGCCGTTCCTGGGGATAGCCCTGCACGTCATCGCCGGGGACGGGATCGGGCATGATATCGCAGTACCGGACGAAGCCATTTGAATACCCGAGAATGGAGAAAGCGGCAAGAGCGCCAATCAGGTTGTGGAATTTACTGGCTTGCCAAAGCATCCTCAATCCGCGTTCCTTGTCTCCGTGGAAGCCAATGATTCCCAGAAGCTTACTGAAAGCGGGCGGAACCATGGAGATCAGGAGCAGAAGAATTCCGAAGCAGAAGTTGGCGCCGGAGTGGACGAAGACGTCGATCTGGTTCTTGAAAATGTCCGAATCAGGATCATGGCTCAACATATCAGAAGGACCCGATGCTGATGTTTCGGAGTCCGCGGAAATTGAAAGATCTAAGAAACCCTTCTTCAGGTCGACAGGCTCTACCGGAGATGCAGGAACGGACGTGGGCCCCGCTCCCTGCCCAGCACCCCGTGGCAGACTTTCCGTAGAGGTAGTATCCCCGGAGTTCCGCGCCTGCATGATGAACTTTTGCTCCATCTTAAGAATAGCGTCTAGGGTGATATAGGCCTTTCTGAGCTTATAGAATCCTTTGATACTTTCCGTGAGACTTTCATTCAGGACGCCGACGACGGCGCTCATGAGCTGCGCCATGGCCTGGCAGAGCGCAAATTCCGTTCCGGGGGCATATATTTGTGAGTGGTACGTATTGGGCGCATGAGAGTTGTGTTGCGCGCGATGCTGGTCGTTGGCGGCACTCGTCTCCGCGGCATTGAGTCGCTCCGAGGCTATAGAACATCAGTCATCAAAGGACACCACTAACAGGACAGTGGTCACACTGGTTACACACCCTGACGCATGATCTCCTGTTCAAAACCCAGTGTGGCCCGGATGAACGCAACGACACCTCTGCCAAGCTATATACCAGGCACGAGTTGTAGATCAGCAGAGGCACTACAGAGCTAGTGACTTTGAAGATCGGCAGGTACTTGTCCAAACCAAAGGCATACGCACATTATGAAACGACGAGATTCCTTCAGAAAGACCGTCTTCGGCGCCATCCACATCGTCATTGAGAATTAACGTGGCAGCTGGTGGCCCAACCGGTCAGTCAGCAGAGCGCCTTTAGCACTGACCCCGGAAGAGCGGGGATTCGATCACGCATGGAAAATTGGACATACCCCTCATAGCATCCTCAACTTTAAGTCCGAAATAATTGATTGTCAGCATTAATCGCATTCTAGACGGGGCTGAGAAGACCTCTGTGCTCACTCACGATCTCGCAGTTCGGACAAAGAGTCCAGGGACTGGGTGGAGGCCGGCTTCTTGCCATAGAGCCAGGAGCCTACGCGAAACATGTTCAAAAATGAAGGGAGCCCGGTGAAAACCAGGCCTGCAAGTAGAGAATAATACTAAAAAGGAAGTTGTGCACGAGACGTATGGCGATCAATTAACCAAGAACCGAAGGGCCCCGAAGCAGACGTAGATGGAATGGGAAGATGATCGAATCTCCCATTCGATACGCACCAAGGACGTAGCGGGACTCCGGGAACATAACCCAAGAAAAAGAGAGAGGTGGGGGGGAGATGCAAGAGAATCAATAACAATAGTCCAAAGGCGAACAAATTGTACGGAAGTAGAAAAAAGAAGAGGCGACTCCGAGCCAAGGGCTAGGCCGGATGGCCTGGGGATTATAAGCAACTGGGACCAGAAACAATAATAGCGTCGAACCCACGGTCCACTTTGCGGCGGCGAGGCGGAGCAACTGACTGGAAATTGCCGGGAGTTGCTCACGAACAAGGCTCTCAGAGATCACGATCCAGTGATTTAGCGCATCGGGTACAGGGGATCGATTTTAAATGTCTCACGAATGGGAGGGAGGGAGGAAGGAAATGTTGGACAGAAGTGGGAGCTGGGGTCATGTCCGGTATGTCCGGCAAGACTGGAGGGGAAGAAGGGGAACAACAGTAAAGCTTGACGTCGTCAGGTCGATTTGACTTACTACCTTAGTAGTGCCGCCCAGCCAAAGTTGATCCGACGCCATCGCCTGCGTCTCCGCCTCCGCCGCCGCCGCGACTCTCTCTCTCTCTCATTCCATTTACCTTGCTTGCCAACAACCAACACCACCCACCACCGCCACTTTCGATCTTCTGATCTGTCATCTCTCATTCCTCACCTCTCCTCCTCCCCCTCTCCCTCTTTGATTCCTTCGTACGACCCCTCCTTTCACCTCCCTAAAGCCACCTGTCCGCTGCCCTCCCCCCTCCCACTCACCTACCCATCATGTCGAATCCCACCGCGACCCAGGACACCAAGGCCGAGCCTATCCAACAGCCACAGCAACAGAAGCCCCCGGTGCTGGAAGAAGATGACGAGTTCGAGGACTTCCCCGTTGAAGGTTAGCCATGAACCAGACCGCTGGTCTTCCCCGTCATGCAGAAGAGGGGAGCTAGCTCCGCTTCCAGCCCAGACAAACAGCCAGCCGGCAAAATGAAACTTACGGATGACGGATTGCGCTGACCTCGGAGCTTTTATTACTTACTTGCAGACTGGCCTCAGGAGGAAACCGAACAAGGATCTGCTGCCAACGGCGCAAGCGCTCACCTGTGGGAGGAGAGCTGGGATGATGACGATGCGGCCGAGGACTTCTCCAAGCAACTGAAGTACGTTTTCCCCCCAAGCCAAGCCAAGTCAACCCTCATCGGTCAATTTCATGGGCGCAATAATATCTCCCCATATATTTGCAACCCCATATAAAGCTCAGATGGACTAACCTGTTTTACTTTCAAACTACAGAGAGGAACTGAAGAAGGTCGGGGCATCTAATTAATAGAATTAATGTTAGATGACGGACGGGTTATCGGTTTTAATTGAGATGAACACACATACACACACGCGCAAATTCCACGAAGCATTAATCAACTAGACTTGATTACACGTGCAACTTCTACCCTCACGCAACTCGGTATCGGTAGTGGATCGATGAAACAATTGTCGATAGAACTTATTTTGAGTAAAGAGATTCGTCTGTCTTTGGCGGTGCCGGTCCAGTGGCTAGGTGGCTAGCTAGCCCTGATGCGGCGCTCGTGATGGAGGATTGATTCGTCTGCAGAGGATAAGTCGTCGTCTGCAGCGGGAGGTCTGGTAGCAGGCTTGCTGGCTTGCTTGCTTGCTTGCTTGCTTGCTGCAACTTTGCTGGAAGCGGTGTATGTGGTGCATAAGCACGTTTATGTACTTTCTACGGTTTTATTTACACAAACACCCATTACTGGATGAAATCGAACCCACCGACTATCAACTTCTTGAGGCGGCCCTCCTTGTTGCGACTTCGTTTAAATCCTCCGCTCACAGCTTCGGACCCGTCACTAGTCAGAGATTACATCATCAGAACCTCTCTTGAATATAGTATAGGCAAAACGCGTATTTTGTTGAGATTAATTATCATTCTTTGTACATTACATTCGTAAAGTTGTCCCCTGTCTTGAGGGGGCGCCGGGAAGGGCTGACAGGTAGGTACTACAACAAACCCGCCTGTCCAACTAGTCCAGAGCATGGAAGCTCAACCACAGCTCATCCTCCTCCAAAGCAAACTTGGACGGATTTTTGTCGTGCAGCATCTCCGCATTTCCAGTGAGTGTGATAATATGTCTGTTCAAATTTACTTACTCGACAGGGCAGCAACACCGGGCAGCTCCTTGCCCTCAAGGAGCTCCAGAGAGGCACCACCACCGGTGGAGACGTGGCTGAGCTTGTCCTCGACGCTGTACTTGGCGGCGACGGTGGCAGTGTCACCACCTCCGATGATGACGATAGAGCCGGACTGAGCAGCGGAGACGACGGCATCGAGGGTCTTCTTGGTGCCGTTGGCGAAGGGCTCCATCTCGAAGACACCGGGGGGACCGTTCCAGAGGATGGTCTTGGCCTCGGCAATGGTCTGCTTGTAGAGCTCAACACTCTTCTCGCCAACGTCCAGACCCATGTAGCCGTCGGGGATACCCTCAGCATCGGTGGCAGTGCCGGTCTTGGCATCAGCAGCGAACTTGTCGGCAGTGACGTAGTCAACGGGGAGAACGATCTTGACGTCGTGCTTCTTGGCCTTCTCGACGACCTCGCCGACGATCTTGCTGCCAGCCTCGTCGAAGAGACTGTTTCCGATCTTGACACCCTCCAGGGTCTTCTTGAAAGTGAAGGCCATGGCACCGGTGATGATCAGGCTGTTGACCTTGGGGAGCAGGTTGTCAATCAGCTGGATCTTGTCGGAGACCTTGGCACCACCCAGGATGGCAAGGAAGGGGCGCTGGGGGCTCTCGAGAGCCTTGGCGAAGTACTCGAGCTCCTTCTTGACGAGGAAACCGGAAGCCTTCTGAGGAAGGTCAACACCGACCATGGAAGAGTGAGCACGGTGAGCAGTGCCGAAAGCGTCGTCTGTGGTGTGGAATTAGTACAGAGCTCATGAACTACTGGCCTCCCGAGATGGGAAGGCGAGAAAAGAATGGCTTACTGATGTAGACATCACCAAGAGCAGTCAGGCCCTTGCGGAACTCGGCGACCTTCTCCTTGTCGGCCTTGACCTTCTTGCCCTCGGCATCCTTGGAGCTGCCCTCCTCCTCGGCGTGGAAACGCAGGTTCTCAAGGAGAACAATCTGGCCACCAGTGGCCTTGTTGACGGCCTCCTCAGCCTCGGGGCCAACGCAGTCCTCGGTGAAGACAACGCTGCGGCCAAGCAGCTTCTCGAGCTCGGCAACAACGGGCTTCAGGCTGTACTTGTCGTTCTTCTTGCCGTCGGGGCGGCCCAGGTGGGACATAAGGACAACAGCCTTGGCACCATTGTCGATGGCGTACTTGATGGTGGGCAGAGCACCGACGATACGCTGGTTGTTGGTGATCTCCTTCTTGTCATTGAGGGGGACGTTGAAGTCGACCTGTTCATTGAATTGACTGATTAGCATTGAAGCACTACCTCGACCCCACGATGGTGATTGATGGATAGGTGGGGGTTTCCGGGGTAACAACAACATACCCGGATCAGGACACGCTTGTCCTTGAGGTCGACATCGGTGATAGCAAGCTTGTTGGTGAGAGACATGGTGAACGACGGTGCTACGACAGTCGGATGGGGTCAGAGAATGGGAGAGAGAGAGGTGGGGTGACAAAAAGAAGGGAAGGGGAAATTTGGGGGGGACAGCGTAGTATTAGTAGCACCACGGGGTACGAGGGGATCAAGAAAAATGCCTACTTAATAGGTCCGCGGTGAGCGAGTCTGGTCACTCTAGGCACTGGAAGCTACGACTTCATTCGGTTCGGCGGCGGGGTAAAAGTGGTGGTTATGGGCTGGTGGTGGGGCAGCCGGTGAGAGAAGAAGAATCGCGGGCGCCTCGGGCTGATGCGGGACTGATGTCAGCGACCGTGAATCGATGACGGAAGGGTCCGGGGCCTCAGGGGTGAACATTATGCCTGTTATGCCCCGTTCGGAGCCCCTTAGCCTCGGATCATGGCTGCGATGGGAGGTTCTGTTGCGTCCGGGGGTGGATCTATCAAGCAATCGTTCCGATATTTCTCGTCTATGGAAGCCGGCTCGCTCTCGTGGGGACAACCCCGCCTACAGGAGATATTGGAGCTCGTGCCTGGTTCAATCCCGAAAAAAAAAAAAACACTGGTGTATTCCTTTTGTCGACATGGTTTATCGATCAATGCAATTGACTCCGGTGTACCCACGTTGCTGGACGAAGATGACCTATACACCACCCATGAGAGGAAGAATAACAGAACCCCCAAAGCTCATTTACAGCGCCCAGTAAGCACAAAACGACGCAGGGGAAGAAATAATGACAGACAAATGAGGGAAGAAACGATTGAGAACCTTGTGGAAGCCAGAATATAAGCCCGCTTCTACCCTTACTCGTCCTCCGCAGAGTTGGTCAACGACAGATACGCAGTCCAGGCGATACCGACGGAGGACACAAAGGGCTGGAACAAGATGTATCAGTATCACCGTACACTCCACATCGGTCACAATAGAACTCACAATCTGGAACTGGATAGGTACGACACGGAAGTTCAGGATCTGAACAGCGGGCCACAGGACAAAGTTGGCCTTGAGGGTTGGCAGATAGACGTCCTGGAACTTGCGAGTCAATGCTCTCCTACCTCCTCCCTCGGCGACCGTCATGAAGGAAAAGAAGCACGCCAGACCTGGTGATGTCATTAGCAAACAGAAAGCGCGTTCTTCTTCCTCTAGAGACGCTTCATACCGAAAGGAGCGAACATCAGCTGATCCACGCACACTCTCTTGAGAGCGGGAATCGACGGGTTTCTCTTGGTAAGGGGGAACGTCCTGGACAAGAAACCGAACCAATGGAACTGAATCGGGGCCATGAAGAAACCGT